CACCCACCACCACAGACACCCCTGTGGCACTTCCCACTCTGGTCCCAGCACATCACACCCACAGCACCTACCTCCTCTCACCACCACACTCGTGGCTGGTGGTAGCTCATGTTGTTAGAGAAGACAGCAGCAGTTCCAACTCCATTTGTCTCAGCAGCCCAAATGCTCTCCAAACACTTGCTATGCTGCACCAGTAGAAAAAAAGAAAAATATAACAAAAGTGCATCACCCAAGGAATATTTGCTTCTGATTTTGAGAAAGTGCTACTGGTGTTTCTGTGGTAATTTCTAACTACTATGTTTGCATGAAAACCTGTTCATTGGGACGACTTCATGCAGCAGTTACCTAGTTCTCAAACCTGTCTTCTGTCCTGCAAATTACAGAATAAATGTGTGTCAGAGTGAACTAAACAGCTAATGATTTAACACAAACGTAAGTGGCCAAACCTGTGGTCAGGCTAAAAGATCACGTCTACAGCTGCATATGTACTTTTAAAACATATACTAGGTTTGCCTTAACCCTTATCTTAACAGGTAAGAGTTTTACCTTTAAGTTAGTGCTTGTCTGAGCATACTTTGGCAATTCTCTGATTCTAGCATCACAGACACTGAATGAAGAAATTCCTCCTTAGTCTTGAGGCACAGTGGTAGCAAAGCCACCTGACAGAGAATTTTGCATGGTATTCAGGTAGGAAAACAAATCTGCATGTTTAGTACCAAAGTGAAAGGGAATCCATCAAAATGACTATAAAGAAGTACTGGATTAAATCAAATGTGTTTGTAATTCTTGTGACACACACACAAAAAAATAGAGTTAATCAAACAGCAATGAATCAAGTGCGTTATTAGAAAACAGGATTTTTCAGCTCTGGTTAAATTTCATTATAAGGTCCTGGTCTCTGCTTTGTGTTTGAATGATGGCGTGGATCCAAAAACCCTGGCTGTGACCACAGTGCCACCCAAACACGAGTGAGCTGGGTAAGTCACTCCCTGCCTTTCCCAAGGTCGTTTCTCCCCATCAGGGTAGAGGCACATATCAAGAAGCAAGCCTGAATTGCTCCAGATCCTGTTGTAGCTACTTCAATGTCAAAGAGAACATGTTAAGGCTCACTTCCAAACACTGCTCTATTCCTAGCAAACCACTTAAATAAAGCAATCTCATGTACACATTTAGGAAGAAGAATCCAAGTGTGAGGCAAAGCAAAGATTTTGTCTTCCAGCCAGAAATCAACTCATCAGAATTCAGTGCATCCCTCAAACTGAGTGCATCCCTCACACTGCACAGCTAGAGTAGCAAGAAAGAATTCAAATGCATGTACAAGGATTTGGGGGTCTGTTTCTTCTCGGTTTGTTTGTTTTTTTTTCTGACTGGGGAAGCCCATATCACATTCCTATGGGCTGTGAATCTCCTGGTGATTGTTTTCAGCCTACTGATATACACCCCACTCAGGTACACCTGAATCTGCCTAGATGGCGCTGTTCCCTGGCAGTTCATAGCTAGAAATAATCCTTTTACCACCTGCAAGTAATATTTGCAGATTAGAAGCAATACCAGCACTTCAGCAACACCTCTCTGAGGTTGATGGTGAGAAGAAACAGACTTATTGCTGATTCCTACCAGCAAGAGAGAACAGAGTATGAAGAAATCAGGCACCCCAGGTTGGAATTCTTTTATATATATGTATATACATGTATATATATAAATTTATATCACCATGAATCTTCCTTACACCAGTTTTAAATTTCAATGAGCACCAAAGATCTACCTTCAGAGGAACATTAGCTTGTTGGCAGGTACATATTTCTGCTGGCAGAATATGTTCCTCAAACAATTACATCTTATCACAACAGACACTTAAAATTTTACATGGAACTGTATCATGGGGCCCTTTTAAAATCCCCTCATTAATGATCATTATGTAAGTAGCAGTAGATGTAAGACATTCCCATATTGCTCATAGGAGTTATGATTTAATTCTATTGCAATCTACTCCACCATTTGTGTAATCACTCCTGACACTTTACCTTTTGTTTTGTAAACCATTATTGTCTGCCACAAATTAAAAAAAAACCCAACAAACAAGACATGATGTTTTGTTTCTCACTGCAATCTGATCGAAAAGATGTTATTAATTAAATGTTGTACACAGTTATACCTGAAAACTCACTGACAGCTCTTGGGAGAAGATTCATTACTGGAAGACAGTTCTTATTATTGAGGTCTCTGAGGCAACATAGAGACATTAATAAATATTCCACACATTCCTGTGATTTAGGTAGATATTATTCAGCATTTGTGGGGAATAGTATGGATTTTCTTCAGCCTTCAATAGCGAGTAGCATGGCTCAGTGTTGCTCATGACTCTAGGAACCACTATAAATGAACACTTGCACGTGCTTTATCTCAGTAGGTGAGTTGGCAAAGACACAGGGAGTAAAACTGAAGAGCCGCTTCCCTCAACGATAAAATCTTTTGGTTTAGTCCCCAGACTGAGCTTTTTGCCAAAGGGAGGAGGCAAATACACTTTGCTTGTGCTGGAATTTTCATTTTCTCTTTCTCACTCATTTATTTGCTGTCATCAGAAGTGTTACATGCAGAGAAAATATTCCTTTGCAGGATAAATAAGTAGAAACTCCTACAAAATTCCAACTGCTTACAGTGAGTGTTCCAACCAAGGTCCTCAACTAGCAGCAAATTTCTTTTCACAGAAGGTATACTGGGATTCCTCCTCACATTAAGACTATTATTCTTATGTTCCTTGCTGAGAGAAGGTCCATCTCACAAAGAGGAGATTTCTCAGAAGTTATTATAATGAACTTGATTATTTTTTTTCCCCTCAACATTTTCACTGTAGTGCCCGTAGGTTTATAGGGAATTTCATCAAGAAAGAGGTTTTGAAAGCTCTTACCTTGGCCACAGAGAAACATAGGGAATTAAATTTTCTTCCTCAACGTGCTCTTTGAGCTGGAGTTTCCGAGTACTCTGAAGGTAAATGTGATGTGACTAGTGATCAAATTGCTTCATAAAGAAAAGTTCATCACAGTCAGGGTAACTGCTTAAAATGCAACATAAACAAACAGGTCTGTGTCAATATTTTGACTTTGTGTAAACAATTCAAGCTGTATCACTCTGGAGATAATGACACATAATGCTGCATAAAATGCTCTGAAAGGGTTTTACCGAATAAATCTGCATTTCAGTGCTGGAAGAAAATTGGTCTGTGCAGTGGAAAAATGTGAACTACTTTGCTCTGGTTGAATACGATCCTAACAAGGCCTGGAGCTTCCAGAAAGCATGCTGAGAGAGGGCTTCACTACTATAAGGTAAATGGGAAAAGAATTGCATTCAGGCTCTGCAATGTCTTTAATCTCATTCACAGAGCTTCAGAAATGTGTGTGTGTGACAGGCTAGAATACATCATTTTGTCCCAGTAAGTATAAACAAAGTGTTTCTTACAACTCTGATGCTACATCTCTGGGCAAATACTCTTTCTCCATTTAGCAACATTGTGAGTTCAAGTCTAGAACTAAAGATAGTGATTAGTGTTTTAAAACTGCCAATAAAACTAAGGGAAAGCAATCTGTACATAGGAGTTTATTTAGATGCCCACAAGTTTTAAATCATTCCCCTTTATATCTCGGCCCACTGGATTTCTCATCCAACTGAAGTACCATTGGGTTTTACAATGTGATATACAAAATGAGCTGACATTATGATTTACAAACATTCTTTGAGTATCATATAAAACACAACTGTTTCCCTTATTATACAATCATTAGGGCAATGCAAATATAGTCAATACATTAGTAGCTGAAAATGATGGGGCATTTTAAGAAAATAAAGTTAACTTTACCACACAGACCTGTTAGATAAAACAAATCCTGCTTAAAAAATGGGAATAAATTTATCTGAATGATTGCAATTCATTTTTATATCATGTTGCCACTTTCCCCTTAGAAGAAACATAACAGTACTTCATTGAAAAGACGACTTTTTCACTGTATAGTCACACTTCATTCTTATTAATCAGTTCCACATTTTCTGCATGAAACTATGAAAAACTCACAAATGTAGACTTCCCAAACTGTAGCCACTATACTTATTTCTGCACTCTTTTCCATATACTCACTGTGTTTAATTAAATAAACAAAAGGCAAAAAACACTACACAAATGAGCAGAACAAAACACAACAGCACATTAAAAAGGTGACATTTAAGCAGCAGATGCCATAATTTTAGAAATAATATTCTCATTCTAATGTCACAGACTTTCTAGTCTCATGAAAAAAATAGACATTAGATGAAGAGAATCTAAAATCTAACCTCAATGTGGGGCTGAGTTTTAATTTGTATTTCTGTCTAAGCTTAGGTACTAAACAATACTGTGTGCGTGGTAAATTTAAAATTAATTTTTTGGTGAATGTTATAAAAGAAGAAAAGAGAAAACCTGCTTCTGAGCTGATAACTGGGTAAATGAAAGTTACCAAGTGTTAAGGTCTCCTGTCCTGCATGTCGCTGGTACAGCTGCTTCTGCACTTTGTCACTATGGTGGCAGTAACTGAGAATGGCAGACATCATTCTGACTGTGAAAGGAAAAAAGGAAAAATTCTGAACTCAAATGAGGTTATAATCGAAAGCAAATTCTAATCTAGTCAATTTCAATTATATCATCTTAAGGCGCTCCAACTGATTTATCACTGCACAACCCAGAGGGATTTTACCCTTGCCAGAGTTTGCAGTTCCTCTTGCAAAGCCAAATACCGATAACGACCGGTGATTCCTTCCTGAATGTGTGTTGAAGTGGTGGAATGTTGGTTTAGTTCCATTTCTCACTAGAGGAGTCTTGCTTGCTCCTGTGTTTGGAGAAGAAAGTGCTTTTCTTTTTGCCATTTCATTAACTTCATGGCATTAAACTGTATAAATTTTTAAGACAGGTTTATTTTGATTGCTTCCATTCTGTCCAATCAAATATACCTTTGAATGTTTTAAAATGTTGGACAGCTGTGAGATATAAGTACTATGCAATCTGACTGTACATACATACATATTTTCATAAATACATCTGACAGGGACCTTGGAACTAAGTATGTGACATCATGGGACAAAATCACACCAGGCTGTCTTATTTGTAAAATCTAGATCCAAAGTAAAAAGAGCTGAATTCTATCATGTTGTCAATACACAAATCAAACCAAAAATACAGCATTAGTTTACCCGTGAAATAATTTAAACGGATTTGCAAATGTCTTGACAGGAAAAGTGTGTCATTTACAACACTGAAAACTTTGAACAACCATTGAGTGCTATGCGCTGTACTGCGGGTCACCCAGACACGGCTAGCAAGGATGAGCATAGTGAGAGGTCCCAAAGGCAACTCCCAAACATCTTCCTCATGCGGAGACTTTGGTAATTGTCCGTTGTATAAAACGCCAACGCATACGACTTCATTTCAGGTGTTAACTTCATCAGTTTTCCTCCCTCGGCACAGTCCAGTCTGACTAGGTCAGTTATTGTTGAGACACTCTAACTCCACCGAGCAGCAGACGTTCCCATTCTGCACAGACAAACAAGCAAGGGTCAGTCACCTCCACAGAACAAGTCATGAAGAGCAAAGGGGCTGGTGACATGCAGAGATGCATCTCTGACACATTTACCACATACAAAAAATCTGCTGGAGCCATCATCCCAAGGTGTACCCCCTGGTCTCAGCTGTGGTGGCTTTTTGAGGAGGCTGACACTGATCCTAGCATTGAAATGGCCTGAACAGCACCTGAACTAGAGCCCTGGATGTCAAAGACTCAGTGGTCCCCTTAATAAAATACAGGACAGCAATGGCAACAGAGATGATGGGATTTGTTTTCTCCAATATAAGAAAAGCTAACGGAGAAAGTTTTGATCCGAGACATGAGAGAAGCTCTCTGTTTGTCTGAAATCAGCAGATAGATCAGATTCTTGATTCACGGCAGATATGTATGAGGAAAAAAATAAATATGGCTTTGGAGATTAGTCCATTGTTAAATATCTGTCTGTAACACCCAGTCATTTATAAATAAAAGGTTATGTATTAAAAACTAGAGCAAACACTAAAAACCCAAACGAGCAATTTTTTATTATTTTTTTTTAATCCAAAGCAAACCAATAAGAAAAACTCTGAAAAACAGCACAAAATCTAACTTCGAAAACATAAAGTCCTGGAGCAACAGTTTGGTTTCCCACAGTAAATAGAAGAACATTTCATAGAACCCAGTATGTTCATAGTTCTGATATTAGCACAGTGGGGTCATCCCAGCATGGAGCAGGGGAGACAAGACTGCACTTCTGCATCAGGGCCATTGCATCAAATATGTCTTGATGGGATCAGGGAACAGAAACTCTGACATTCCCTTCCCCCTTCTGTTCTGGGGGTGCCTTAATCTCTGACCTCCAATGTGTTTCTACTTCTATAGTTGGTGGTGAAACTTTTATTAGTATTTTTGCCTCTGCTTACTAGCTCTGTAAAATACATTTTCATGAACATTAGGCAATTATTAATCTGTTCATACTGAGAATGCCTGAAGGGCTCTCCAACAGAATGTCTGCAAGTTGCCTTAGGACATTACATATCTGTGCTCGTTTTTAACAAACACAGAATAGTTTTGTTTCCACCTTTTAGGCCACAATAGGTGTGGGATTTTTGTAGGCTTCTCCCCTCAGGTCTCATTTACTTCCCTGAGATCTAAATGTGAGCTTCCAGGGCAGAAAGTGACCCCGACATACACATACAACATACACCTGCATTACCATTCTACCTTGCCCATCATACCTTACATTTGCAGGTTGTACAAGGAGATCCCACCATTGCCCATACAGCGCCACTAAGTCTTGTGATTCCATAACCATCTAGACAGGTTTTCCTGATGTCGTAGGTGATGTTGTCAGCCAGACAGGGGTCACTGACACAGTGGGGACAGCACTCTCCTTCTGAGATGGCTGTGTACTCGCAGTTCAGATTCGGGCACATAAGAGGCCAACAATCCACCTCTCCTTCCTGTAAAAATTGAAGCAAAGCTCATTGAATCTGTTGCCCTACCAAGAAAAT